TGTGTTTGTGTGTGTTTGTGCCCTTGTGTGTATTTATGTACATGTATGCACAGACGACAGGTATACTAGTACAATGTGCTTAACACACACACACACACACACACACACAGACACACACACACACACACACACACACACACACACACACATACACGGCGCGCGCGCGCTTACGTACACTCACGCGTAAGCATTTGCGCTCACGCCTGAACAGCTTGCAAACTCGACAGAACATCGTGCACGCCAGCTTTGGGGGAAGGGGGGGAGGGGCTACCACCCTTGTAAACCCGTAAACAAAGTTAATAGCTTGTGAATACTTTTGCAGAAGGGAGTAAATCATTTTTAAGGTCTCATGGGGACGTCTTTTTCAATCTTTATGTCTTGGTCAGTCGTCCAGTGTCACAGAAAGCGATGACAGCTGTTGCGGGTTTCACACGAAGCAGGTCGTTGGTGTGTGTGTGTGTGTGTGTGTGTGTATGTGTGTGTGTGTGTGTCTGTGTTTGAAAAAAAAAGTAATGAGTTTTATGACGTCGCGCTGTTGTGTGGTGAGTGCACTTACGTTATGACCTGAAAGTGAAACGTTACGTCTTGGCCCAGTACCGCATTACTACAAAACAGTTGGCCAACGGTTTTGTCGGTGAGGTGTGGACAATGAAAATTAAGAGAAGCGGTGTGTTGTATTGGTGCAGTTGGTGTCTCTTATTTTCATTGTCCACCCCCAGGGCGGTGCTACTGACTGAAGTGTCTTTAGGCCATTCCCAAATGGGGGACAGTAACATTTTCTTATGCACAGTAGCATTGTAAACGGGCTGATTCATCAATGTCATGCTCAAACTGTGCCTGGGCTGCAACAGGGAACAGCTGCTTTTTCTTTCTTTCTCCTCACTATCGTCATTTTCATCTACTTCTTTTGTATGTTTGTCACACTCTTGTGACCCGCTATTTTCGGGGTGCCTTGATAGTCGAAGCAGACTTTGTGCTGTTGAAGCTAGAAAGGAGAACAGGTTAAGCCTGATTCCCTGTAAGGACTTCTCTGTTGACATCCGCCCCTTGGCGCTCATATGACCTTATGCAGTGGGGAGCGCTGTAAAATCTCTACTAAAACAAACTTTCATTGTCCTCAACTTACTGACAAAACAGTTAACTTGGGTTTTTAGGAGTGGGTGGTTGGGGGGGGGGGGGGAGGGGGTTGCAGTCATGGGCTAAGAAAGTGAGAGGCCAAGGGACCGCAAATTAGTGCACAGGTATAGATAGAATTGTACATTCAGTCAAATAGACGTGTGTCAACAGAACTTGGTAATTGCTATTTTGCCTTTGTGTCACGTTTGGCGCTTGGCAGACGTTTAAAGGTGCCTTGTTTTAGTTTCAATTCTATCTGTTCTTGTCTGTCTGCCTGTCTTTCTCTTTCACTCGCATGCGCATATTAGCTTTCTTAATGTTTGCTCCCCTTCATTTTCTTTAACCCGTTTTTATCTAATTTTTTAGCAGTTGTTAATTCTTTGGACAGAGTTGTATAGTCACGTCTTCTTTGTGTTCTTAACTCCAAAATCACTACATATGTAAAATGTCGGCGTCCGTTCTTGCCAGTTCTTGTATACATCGCACACATTTAGATAATTTAGGAGGCAAGCTGCTTCGCCCAGTCTGTTATGGTCGAGTGGTGGTGAGAGGGATACTGCATCCCAGTAGAAATACGAAGATGCTCGTTAAAATTGGATTTCTCCGACGAATGTGGAACTCACGTCTTTTGGGATGATGGGGTGAAAAGTAACCATTCCCCTCAGACGCCACTTACTTGTTCACGCTTTCATGGATACTGAGACAAGCTGCAAGTGCAAATCATTTACATAATTCGGTAACACATTTAAAACAACAGCAACTGTAACAATTCGGAAACTCCTGAAAAAGTATACGAACTGAGACTCTCAATTTTCAAATTCACAAAATCAGCACCTCCTGTAGCCACCTGCTGTACTAATTACTGACGCCGTCGACGCATGGAAAAGATAAGTTCTTGTATAAAAGATGTTGAGGGAATCTGTTGCTAGATCCTTTCTAGCTATTGCTCATGTTCATCTAACGTTTGGCATTGGTCAGTTCTCGCTGAAATTAATCTTTATCCGGAGACATTACTTGCCGCAGTTCTGCAGGACGCCATCTGTTCTTGAGATGAACGCGGTGGATGTGTCGGTCTTGTCTCTGTGTTGTGTTCCGAGGCAGCCACTTCTAGGTCGATCATTCGTCGTACTTAAACACCTAGGCATATGCCCACAAACGTCCAATGCTGTTTCTGTGGCCATTGAGCCTTTGAGCCACATCTCGCTGTGTACTACCAGCCTAGAGCATTCCTTATACCGGGTGTCCATTGCGAATGGGATCGGGTCGGGTCGGGTTGGGTCGGGTTGGGTTGGGTCCGGTCGTTCGCCGGACTCGACGCCTGAAAACAAACGCGTTTGTTTTTGAGGGGACGAGTCGGGTGCGATCGGCTTGTGCCATGATAGCCGCTTTGCGCCCTCAATCTGGCTAGCAAACCGACCCGATTCGACCCGATCCCCCAATGGACACCCGTATATCGCTCGCCTTTTATCATTTTCCGACAGATGTGGCACAGCAGAAATATCGCTGTATTTTACGATTTTCAACACAAACAGGCGTTAAGAAAATGAATCTTAAACTCGAAATCTGATCCTGTGTACAAATAGTCACATTATATATAAGGCGGTTGAATGAAATTAACACAATAAAGTTATCGCCCTTGACAAACACGTCAGCTTCCGTGCCAAATTTGACGACTGCTGATCATCAGTTAATTAAATTTTTGGCTATCTAAAGAATGCACATTTTCCCCACAATTTTATTTGTTATAAATAACGACATACAGTCTGTGGGAGGAACGTATACATAATATTTATGATTGGTTAATATATTTGAAAGATATTCATTGCGCACCTCGATACTCACATTTGCAAAGTGCTGACTGTGGCAAAAATGCACTTTAAAAAGAAACTAATTTGCATCAGGTGAACATTATTCTTTTCAATATCCCTGAAACAATCGTTTTATCTTTTGCAACACATTGAATGTATTATGTCCTTAGTTTCACCCCAGTAGAACTGATACTGCCGAATTCCTTTGAAATAGTTTGTTTTGTTTACCAAAATTAGTTGTATTTCATTTATTTATTCATTTTGCGGTGTTGCGGTTTTGTTTTGTGTCTGTCAATGTTTGTAATTGGAGATGATACCTATAAATCATTCAGTGGCCGGCTGATTGTCTGAACTACCGACGGTTTATTTGTTCATTTATTTGTGTCATTCATTGCTCTCATGTTTATGTTTTACAGCATCTTGCAGTTTGCTCAGTTACTACTTCTCGTGGTTTTGTCAAAGAAGAGCGAGAAGACGAATTTGTGCTCGCAACCCACAAGGCTTTTACCTCAGCACTATTTTTTTTTAATTAAAAAAAAGAAACATTGCCTTTATTTTTAAACAACTGCACCTCGGAGAACACAAATGTTTTGCATGTAATGATAAATATAAAACCGTCTACTTAATGACAGAAGTATGCTTTGTAATAATTTTCGGTATTTTCTTCTTTTTTTTCCCCAGTTTCACACGACCAGCCATTTTTTGTCTTATATATATTATTATTTCTGGGTTGTTGTTTTTTTTTTTAGTTTAAGTTTGGCATTCATGATTCATGAAAATTTACTGTTCAGAGTAGTTTTCATATATATTGCATTTGAGTTCCCTAATATTACTAATAACAAACTGTATATTTCTAGGAAAATGTATTCGGACTGAAATCTGTTGACTTTTGCAGGGATGGTGGGCATCAACAGAAAAGATCCTGCTACAGTTATCTATTTCTAATTGCGTAGTTCACCTGATTTTCTTTTGCTTTGCTACCATTGCAACAAGATCGTTGCTTTTTTATCCTTCTCTGTGTTGATTTATCTATGAGCTGACGCGAGCAATGAAAAAAAAAAAAAGACAGGCGATAAAGCTATCAAAACGAACCAATTTGAATCTTGGCGTAGGATTTGTTAGTGTGCAGTGACCCATTCCGCTTGCCGAGATGGACTTTCGCCCCTATTATAATATAAACCGTAAACCTACGTCACTTGTACTTCCTGCGGCTATGTTGGTCAAGTAGTATGTCGAGTAACTTAACAAACAAACTTCTTTTTATGTCCTTAAGGAACTTTGGTTTTCGATGACTTGCACACATGGGTGCATTCGCCGCGCATATTATGATCGTTGGATTCGCATAAAGGAAACAGTAAAATCAGGCAGTTCTACACCATTACTGATTGCCCACTGCCGCCATGTGTTTCCGTTCATTTAGTTCAAGTTGATTAGTGTGTCCTTGCCAAGGAGTCAAGATACTTCCCTATCCACCAGTGTGCCTACGTACTTGTCTGTCTGTCTGTCTTTCTATCTGTCTTTGTTTTCTGTATGCCTGAATCACTGTGACATTCTGTTCCATTTGCATGTATGTGGTTGAATGAAAAGCGCCACTGGTGGGTCCTAATAGGTGGGGGGGGGGGGGGGGGTTTCTCCCACTGCCGTTTCTATTTCTGTCCTGCTGGTCGTAATGGTGTCCACTTTTCTTCTGTTAGCTAAACACACGCATGTGGGTGGTTGGTGGGTGCTCTGGTGTGATTTGCTTTTT